CGACCACTTGCTTGTCTGGACAAGTTACAAGATATGTGCATTGGCTTTACTCCTTTAACTGGGAGCAAACCTGAAATAGGTTATTTTAGACACGCAACAATGGAAGGAATTTGGGTAGATAACTTACTCAAAGGCATATACATAGATTGGCTTGATAGTGTTAGTAGGAGCCTTAGTATCTCACACCGATTACTCTCCAATTCTTTATTCGATCCCATTGCAGTAGTGCACCCAACTCCGCTCTGCCAAATCGAGTATGATACTTTTCCTTTCGCATTGGGTATTGTCGGTATGGTAAATCCGCTGTAAAACAGCAAATCTACTAAAGTATCAATGAGCTCTTCTGCCAACGGTTTCGCATCATAATCATTCTGGTGGTCCTGTGGATTCGACCGGCGCATTTCGTCGTCCTCACTCGCCCCATCGAATAACACCTGAGACGCAATTTGCGCATGCCGATGTTTCTTCCTTCTTCTCCCCCAGAAAAACTTCTCCTCCCATGCCTCCAAATTCTCTGATTCGTAAATGAAGGGAAGGATACGTGTGAGAACGCGAATGCAATTGAGCGCATCTCTATCAGGCGCAAGATCAGGGTCCGGGAATGAGGGATGGTTTTTTAGAACAATAAGACGGGAGGTGACTGCCAATATTAACGTCTCTAAATTTGCTATGGAAGCATCGCGTGTCCGTCGTATGTCGGCTGGAGAGAACAAGCTGAAAACATCTTCAGGCGATTCGGGGAGCTCCCAGAACTAGGCAGTGCAAAGTCAGCATTCCGAATAGGCGAATATAAAAAGTCTCTTGACTGTCGTGAATAGCATCTATAAAAATTACTCACCCCGGTCCAATAGGGATCGTCGGCCGCAATGTTGCTTTCTTCTGATAACCGAAATATGCCTTGTCGAAAGGCCAGCTTGGATTCGGAACCCCCCATGACCTGGTGGGGAAAGCTAATGGGACGGCCGCTCTATAAGGACATGTAATGGAACACAGTGGATAATACCTCCCGAAATTGTAAGGAGAGGAAAGCAGCGAGAAGATGATTGCCAGCGCGACAGACTGGAGTAGATGGAGGGACGAAAGCTTGCAAGATTAGGTTGGTATCAACCAGGGTTTCGTGCCTGGGTCTTGGATGCTTGTTGGAGAGGGTGCCAAGGCTGTCCACAGATCTTGGACAAGGGGCACTGCGCGACTTTTAGCTTGATACTTGAACAGGATGGAACACGCAGTTAGGTATAGTAATGATAAATATAAGGCTACAATATCATGATCTTTCTTTGAACGAGAAAAAGTGTATTGAAAACAAATTTACAAGCATAAAAGATACTTGACCCACGCCGCCAATTCTCTCACTCATTCCCATTGCGCCTTGGCTTCAAATTCCTGCGTATAGATTCACGCTCATAAATTACTTCCACCCAACGAAGGTCCATTACGACCTATAGACACTACTATTGGGAGACATGGAACGTGTTTTTTCGTATAACCATTTGTTAGTAAGCACCGTGTTGGTGCTTTTCCCATTTCCATTCCCATTCCCTTTTCCGCTCGGACTTGGGGTTGAGGGTACTCTAAATACACTCCTTTCCCGAAAGCTCGACCGGCCTAAAGGAGAGGGAGATCCAAAACTCTGTCTTCGCTGCACCTCTTTTGTGCCATTCCCCATAGCCTTGTGAAATAACGGGCTTGGCGAAGGTGAATACGGGAATCCATCTTGAGACTTGCCGGTTGACTGGCTTCCAGATCTTCCAGAGAGTGGTGAGGAACTTGGACTAATCGGGCTGGCCGTTCTAGAGCCAGATGACAATCTATATCTTGGAGGGGTAACATATTTACTTCCAGGCGTAGCAGGTGCGCTGTGGCTCGGGTCGAGGCCGAGAAGAGACCGTTGTGAGGGTGTGAGGGGGATGTCGGATAAATCATCCTTTGGGCGATATAGAGGGTATAGAGCAACCACGATATTTAATAGAAGCAGAAGGCGAATGGCGAGGAGAACCAAGTCGGGATATGTTGGTATATTGAGCATAGAACCTAGCCATTGGTAGCTGTTGTCTTAATTAGCATTATTTCGCTAGTTTGCTGGTTTCTTTTGCCTTTATTACATCCGTACCATTGTCTGAATGAAGTTCCCAAAAATCCAGAAGTTATTAAACAACCGCCATTCAAGGCGATCTTCTTAACATTGCGGTCTCCGAATGTTGACGCGTTTTGCCTTCGAACAATCTCCTTGAGCTGTGGATGTCGCCAGGTGCCTGGGCGAGGCTGTGGACACCGAGTCATTCTCTTGTAGCGTTGGGGTAGAGGGGAAGGGGGTGGGGGGTGCCATGCGACGTCGATTCGAATTGAAACACGCTGCTAAAAATCATATGCCATAAGTTCAAGCTCACAACGACGCTATCAAGCAAAGCAGCCTGAACAATCGGAGGGGTGGGAGTGCGCTCACCTTTTGGGGGGAACCTACCTAACTTACCTATAGATTCTGCACAAAGCTTATGTCACAGAATCATTGGGTTGCAGGTTGTAAGGATAATTTGGATGTTGCTCACAGCCCCTAACAAGTCGACTTGGTCATTGTTTTTAGTTGGTCAACTGGCTGGAGAAGCGTCAAGACGTTTTTTGTTTGTTTGAGGCTTGGTCAACCCGGCACCACAAGCGCATTTGCCGGACTTGGCGCCATTATCCGACCATACATTTCAAGTCAGCATCGCTGGAGATAATCTCATTCCTGATATATCGACACATCTCCAGATTCCGGATTCTCCGGATTCCCCAGATTCATGCTTTCTGTCTTTCGAATTAAAATTTTAAACCTTGGAACAGAATCAAGTCCAACGTGATTTACGGCCATCCATACCCGCTGCAACCTTGCATCGGCTATCAACTACAACTCCACGTACCTCTGAGCTTTTCTGCGGATCACCTCTCTTGCCATCAGCAAAGATTCCAGACATAGCATCAAGCTCCTATGAAATAGAACTACTTCTTCATCAAACGATGCCTTCAAGCAACGCCTCCCTCTCTAGAGTGGATGTTTTGTTATCGGACCTCTTTGCTGACTGGGGTACCGACTCAACACTGATTGCCTCATTTATTGCTATCTTTCTAGCGTACAAATTGTTCTTTTCGAAGGATCCCGACACTCATCCCTTCTTCCTTGCCAGACAAGCTGTTAGAGCCCCCATAAGGTTGCCAGGAGAGTCTGCCAGTTTCCGCGCTCATGACGTACCCCACGGTTATCCGCTGAAGAGCGGGTTGAACGTGAAAGACCCTGACAAACCAAAATGGACAGCAGGTCGCAACGGCGATCTCCGCGACATCTGGCGAGCGGCCCTCCGAGGCTCACTAGCCACCGATGGGACCCCGGCAGGGAAACAAGGGAAATTCTATACTGTGCTCGGGAAGGACGTTGCAGAGCATAAGCTGGATGATATCTCACAGGAGATCAATATCATTGGCCAGTACATATATGAATCAAGGGCACGAACTGTTGCTATATACCTCCCGGACTCCGTAGAAACTCTCGCTGCTATTTTTGTTTAGTAGTTGTGTCGGGATTCTCTAATTGTGGCGATGTGCTATTCTTTACTAACAATTTTCCAGCTGGCGCGTTTTATGGCTTCAAAATCGTGTTAATTCCTCGTCAGATATCTTCCAAAAGACTTCGATCCTACCTAGCTATGGCGGGTGTCGACCTCCTAATTGCGGAAGCTGGCACGTTGGAGCTATCTGCGTTGTTGCAGGGAGCCCCTTCACTGAGAAGCACCATTTGGGTTGCGAATCATGGCAGCCGACATATGGATTGGAGCCAAGTACCGGAAGGGATTGGAGGAGATATCGAGGTAGCTGTGTGGCATGAGCTGGTCAAGGACAAAAAGGCTCTTGTAGGGACAGAGGTGCCAGCTACTGTTTCGGACACCCCAACCCACCCTATTGTCGCTTTCTGGGCCACCTCAGCCGAGGAAGGACAATTCGTCGAGTATTCACCTGCTGTATGATATTGCTACGCTTTGTTAATACTGTGTCACTTCTGCGTGTTCTATCTAACTTGTCATACTAGGCCTTGGTGGCCGGAATTGCTGGCTTAGGCTCCGTCCTTCCCCATGGCCAGCACCTAACATCCTCTGACCTGGTTCTCTCCATCGACTCCCTGACCCGCTCGTATCCACTTTGCATCATCCTCGCCGCGCTATACGTGAACGCTTCCGTCGCATTCAATTCCGTTTCTGGCGAACATGTTAATTTTGCCCTTGCAACGGCTGGCATCTCTCCCACCATTATCATTGCTTCCTCCGAAACAATGCAGAACTACCACACCGAATATATGGCCCCTCAAATAAGCCTCGTAGCCAAGTTTGGTCGATTCATACAACGCAGATCTCTTGATGGCGGTACAATGCCTAGGCAAAATATACTTACCAAGCTTGCCAACTTGGGGCCCACCTCAGAACTGTCCCGTGAAAATCTTCGCCTGATCTTCATCTCTTATCGAATCGACGCGAACCCAGAGTGCCAACTTACCTCTGAACAATTGACGGATTTGAGAGTGTTTACTGGTGCGCGGGTGATATATGCGTTGACTGCTCCGACAGTTGTCGGTGCGGTTAGCCAGACGAATGTGTTTGATTACAGGAGCTTTGCCGGCCGCAGCCATTTCGGAGCTCCGTTGAGTAATGTTGAAATAAAATTAATCCACGATAAAGAGGAGGATGCCAGCAAGCATGGAAGACTGGCAGACGGAAAGGTATGCACGTGCCCCTCTCCTTTCCGGCAGTAGATTTGCGTTTGCCGCCGCACTCCGGTTATACTAACGCTTAACTATCAACACAAGATATTTGTAACCGGTCCCGCTACTGTGGGAGGAAAGTCTTTATTGGAAGCCCGAGGATACTTCAACGACGATTGCACACTCTCTCTGTCTTAATTGAAATGCATATCTGACAACTTTACTCACTCCTGTTCCCGAATGAATTGTATTCCGAGCGCCTTTTTGGCTTTTTTGCTTCGCCATGCATCATTTCGCTTTCTTGCCATTGTCAGTGTAAATGGTCTTGATGAATCCTTTTTTTATTTTCACGATTGTGCACCCTGAATAAGGAGGGTAATGTTGTAGTAAAATTGCATCTTTCAATAAATTTGTCCAACTTATTCTACACCTCGCACAAAAATATATCTAAAGTGACAAAAACAAGAAACTATAACAGAAAAAATGACAATTCTCGTACATTTGTTAATGATACAGATGGATGGGTTTTGGAAAAAACACACAATTCTACCTCTCTTAAGCCCGGGCACCATCAGCTGGAGTTTTCAGTTCGCGTAACCTTTCCCTGAGAGCTTGGCTCAGCTTCCCATCCTTCTTGATTTCTTCCACTTGCAGGGCCATCTCAATACCCTTGCGTACAGATGGAAGGTCGGTAACCTTCCGGATATTCTTCTTCGGGTATTTGATAGAATCAAACTTTCCTCTCAGTACCCACGTGCCCAGTAATTTCTCAGCGTATGAACGGACGTCGCCCAGGGTGTCCTTGCCCCCGAAGGCATCAAGAGCATGAGCAGCACTTAATTCTAACAGCACACTAATAATATTCGGATGTCGCCGTGGGTCCGGTTTCATCTTATCCACAGGGGCATGGTCTTCAGAGTTCATTAACACGGCAACGCGCTTAGCTTGTCTCAGCGCCGTCTCGACCTCCGCACCCTTATATCCCGCCGACTCAGCCTTGGTATGGAGGTTCGAGAAGAGCAGCTCTGCCAGCATGTAGTCACCTAGCGAGAAGCCTGTTCGGTGAGATTGCTCTGCACAGTCGATGATGACGGAATTCATCCCCGCTTCGCCCGCCTTGCGCACGATGAATTCCCAGAGGAGGAAATTGGGGGTGCGTTTTGAGCTGTGTAGACCCCTCAGCAGCGGGACGAGGGTGTGCCAATCCTGTGGCTCTTTCATCAGTCCGATCGCATCCCGCACGACGTTGTTGCTGGGTGTTTCGCTAAAATTTAATGGGCGTAGTTTGTAGGACTCTTCTGTTGCCCCTTAACTGGTTATGGTTATGGGATTCTCCTCGAGTGTCGTAGCGGCATG